ATATCAAATCAGGAACTGTTTGGGGTTTTTTTTTTTTTTTTGGTGCTGGTAGATATAGTATAAAAATCTAGGAGCAACTAAAAACAAATTATGTACTTTATCCATAAAAAGATCAATAAGTTTTCTTCAACTTTAAGAGCCAGGACTTCCATAAAATGTGAAATTTTAGTTAGTAAATATGCATCTCTTTCATTATTCATGACCAATGAAGACATGTAAAAAGAGAGGTCAGATTAAAAATTAAAAATGACATAATTATAAGGAAGATCAACAGATCCAAAATTGCCTGCTGTCTCCCTGCAAGATTCCCTTTTGCCATTCAGATGACAGAGAAAACGTGTCTAATTAGTCTGGTTTTCCCTGATGTAGGGAAGGATAGCAATCCCTTACAAGAGAAATTAGGAGTGAGACCATCATCTCAAGTAGAATCCAGGGAAACCCCACTTATGTGGTTTTCAGTAAATTGCTTACGGTTTTGTTTATTTTTGCTGCCTGTTTCCTCATCTGTAAACTTACAGGGTAGAGCTGCAAGCATCAAATTCTGAACTCTGAAATTCCAGACATTGATGTTCATTGACAGCTCTGCCTTTTCTCTACCTCCTTTGGTTACATTTCTTAGGACACCGATGAGCACAAATGTTCCAATTTCCCCAAATCCTTGTCAACTTGTTAATTTCAAAGATCATGAATATTTTTATTTATTAGGGATCTTCACCAGCAACATGTTCTGTTGAGATAAGAGTTCTGGAACAAGGTGGAATTTTTGTGAGTTTCTTTAGTTTATTATTACAATTCATTTCTGATTGAAGAAAAATATTTTGTTCTATGGGTTTATTTAAATAAATAGAGAGAGTAAAATAGAATTCATGTTTAATTAATCACACATGGACTATAATCTAGCAAATCATGACTTAAACCAAGAATAAGAGCAAACATTTATATAACGATCCATATAGTGATCTGCAGTTTACAATGGATCTCTCCTGATTCTCACATCGATTCTCCTCTCTACAGCCAGCAGTCGTTTACCAGTACAAAAAAAATTCATTTTAACCTAGGTTTTTTGTTGTTTTTTTTGAGACAGAGTCTCACTCCGTTGCCCAGGCTAGAGTGCCGTGGCGTCAGCCTAGCTCACAGCAACCTCAAACTCCTGGGCTCAGGCGATCCTCCTGCCTCAGCCTCCCTAGTAGCTGGGACTACAGGCATGCACCACTATGCCCAGCTAATTTTTCTCCATATTTTTAGTTGGCCAATTAATTTCTTTCTATTTTTAGTAGAGATGTGGTCTCGCTCTTGCTCACTCTGGTTTCAAACTCCTTACCTTGAGCAATCCACCCGCCTTGGCCTAGGATTACAGGCGTGAGCCACCGTGTCCAGCCTTAACTTAGGGGTTTTTAATGACTTCCTAATACCTAGAGGATAAAATTAAACCTTCTCAGCCTAGCAAACCATCCTCTTCAGCCCCATTTCTAGTAACATCTTCCTCCCAGCGTACATTTCAGACAAATCACAATGCATGTTGCCGACTACCATAGCATATCATACCTGAGAGTATTTATTCATGTGTTTATCTCTGGCTACAACACCCTTCTCAGCACCACACCCCAGATTGGCTGGGAAAAATTACTTATGCTTTACCAGGACTCAGCTCAAGTGTCACCTTTTCCATGACGCCTGTCCTACCTCTCCCCCATGTGTCAGTGAGATGTCCTTCCACTCCACCTCCCACCAGGTAGAAATGGCCTCTCCATTCTGCCCACTGTGGTCAGGACAGGATTTCTTTTTGGCGCCATGATGTTTTATTGCTTTGTTTTATATTCATGTCTGTCTCTCTTTCTAGACTGTGTGCTCTTTGAGGGCAGAGTCTGAGCCTAGTTTAACTTTGCCGTGTCTCAAGCACTTAGTGGTTGCTCAAAAAATGAATATGGAATAGATGGATGGATGGGTGGGTGGGTGAGTGGATGGCTGGATCAGGAAGATTGGTAATAATATTCCTACAAGGTTAAAAGTGATTATGTGAGCTTCCCAAGATCAAGCCACAGTAATTTGGGGGCTAAAACCCAAACCCAGATCTTCTAACCTAATGTTTTTTCCTTTATGCAGTATTGCCTTCTAAACTTATAATGTCAATGTTAAAAACATTACGTAACAGTACAGTGATATATTTATTTAAATTATTAAGCTGAGGCTTTTAAAATAGGCAGATAAAACTAATCGGATTCCTTCGACACACTTAATTGGATTTTTTCCCTTTATGTTCCCCCTTGTCTCATTTATGAAAGATTTCAATAAAATTCAGTCAGGTTCCATATGGTTTTGTTAATAAAGTATTGATATTAATATCATCTGTATCCAAGCAATTACAAAAATTTTCAATTTTTTATTCAAAGTATATTTCACAACAATTTCTTCCCTTCCGTTCTCCCTACTACCATATGGGGTAGTGAAAATAGCATGGACGTTAGAGCCAGAAACATTGGCCTGTGTTGCCTTCTTGGAATTGTCACACCCTCGTTATGTGTGACCTTTTCCGAGTCACCTAAACTGTATCGTCATAAACAAAATGAGAGTAATTATATCCACTTCACAGCATTGCTGTTATATGCAGTGTCAGGTACATATTAGGTATGAAAAACATGTCAATTCCCTCCTTACATGAATTCAACTCATTAAAAAAAAAAATGATCCTTGTATTTTTCAGAATGCAATTAGATCAATTCAAAGAACAAATCTTGTCTTCCAAAGCAGACTGAGGTTTCTCGAAGGCAAAAATCACATCTCATTCATCTTTCCCCCAGTCTCACATATTCCAATAAATGTTTCCTGATTGCTAATCATTTTTATCAGGATTATATATTTATAAGATACTTTCAATCACTTTGGTGGATTATTGTTCACTGTAAATTTCAGATGAAGAAGTGCCTTTTCCTGGAACTTCAGGTGGTCACCAAGGAAGTAAGAGGGCTGCTCGTGGCCTTTGCATGTTGTCACCATGCTATGGGTGCAGCTCAGGCAGAGAATCAGAAACAAAGCTCATTTGGCTTCATATTATCTGGCTTTTAGACTGACTCCATTCCTGATGAGCTCTGGAACAATGAGACTTTAGATTACATTACACAGTCTTCTCAGAGCCTGCTATTAGAAGTCTAATATTTGCTGTTATTTAATTTTTAGCTTCCATATATGTGAGTAAAACAATTATTTTTAAATGGATATTTACATATGTGTTCTCATAGCCCAGACAACTATTACATTTTAGATCAAGGATGTCTGTGCTACCTCATACATAAAGGAAAAGTCTTATTAATTGAGTAGCTAATATAGGGAAACCGCATCAGGCATTTTATGTTATGTTCTCTCATTGGATCTTTACAACAACCCTGTCAGTTATTTCCTCATTTTACAAATTAAAAAAAAAACACCCTGGGCTCCATAAAGTTAAGGATTTGGATTAGCATCTGTTAACATACTAAGTTGCAAAACCAGGATCTGATTACAAAATTTATGACCTTATAACAATATCAATATTTTCCAATAAAGACACAAAAGATGAGAATATGGGAACAAATAAGCTGGAATGATGTGCATACATTTAAATAAGAACAGGCCCACCACAGGCACAGGTAGTATAAAACATCACAACAAATTCAGGTATATGTACACGTCACCACAAAAATTGAAATATTTTGTGTGGAAGAGAGAGAATTATTATAAATTTTTTTCTTTTTGGCAGGACCTATATTTGCTCAGAAAAATAGTTTTGTTTTTTTTTGAGACAGGGTTTTGCTCTGTCACCCAAGCTGAAGTGCAGTGGCATCATCATAGCTCACTGAAGCCTCAGAGTCCTGGGCTCGAGTGATCCTCCTGCCTCAGCCTCCTAAAGTGCTAGCTAGGATTATAGGCAAAAACCATCACACCCTCCTTCAGAAAGATAATTTTAAAATAAGTTTTAAATTGTTGAGAAAGGTCAAAATATTTTAATTAATAATAGCTATGTAAGATTAGCCACACTGTTTGTTAGATAATCACTTACATGCACGCTTTGAAACGTTCTATTTTTCCCTCAGCAAACATTTGACTTAGTGATGTCAGAGGCACCTAGCTTCTGGGTGCTGGCTGCGCAAACTGACTTGCAGCTTCCTGCTTAATTGAGGTTTCACTTTCCTGTATGGAAGTGAAAGCTCAATGTTGAACAGATGTTAGCCAATAAACTGTCCAGTTCTGGGACTCCTTGACACCGGACCCCAATGTGCTGTGATTCTGAAACCTGTTGATGATGTCTTACCTGGAGCTAAAGTTAGATTGGGAGGATATGGAGATGCAATGGCTAATGGGATAAAGTGACAGTTGACATGACAATTGGGACATTTGAACAGGCTTTATGTGTTTCTCCTTTTCCTGAATGCATTATTGGGATGGATTGCATCCACCTGGGATTGCATCCCCTGCCTGACATTGTGAAATGGAAAGCACATAGGTGAGCCCTCAAGCCAGTTTTAGTTGGATGGGCTGAATGGGAACCATCAGAACTGTCTGAGCCCACACAGGTCATTAATTTAAAATGATATAGAACACTAGTGGTTAAAGAAATTACTACTTTAATTAATGACCTGCTAGAATCTGGAGTGCTGGTACCAATGAACTCTCTGTACAATAGCCCGGTGTGACCCATGACAAAGGCAGATGGCTCATGGAGACTATTGAAGTGTAAATAAAGTTGTGCCACCCATGGCTTCAGCAGTTTCAGACGTGGTTTTGTTTTTTGTTTGTTTGTTTTTGAGCCTGGGCTAGAGTGCTGTGGCATCAGCCTAGCTCACAGCAACCTCAGGCAATCCTCCTGCCTTAGCTTACTGAGTAGCTGGGACTACAGGCATGTGCCACCATGCCCAGCTAAATTTTTTTCCTATATGTTTTTAGTTGTCCAATTAATTTCTTTCTCTTTTTAGTAGAGATGGGGTCTTGATCTTGTTCAGGCTGGTTTCAAACTCCTGACCTTGAGCGATCCACCCGCCTCGGCCTCCCAGAGTGCTAGGATTACAGGTATGAGCCACCACGCCTGGCACTCAGACATGGTTTTGATAATACAAAAAACCCCAACAAACTAAGGGAGACTGGTACTCAGTGACTGATCTTGCAAACCCTTTCTTCTCTATCTCAATCTCAGAAAACAGCCAACCTCAGTTCACTTTCACGTCTGAAGGACCCCAATAGACGTTTATGGTGCCGTCGCCTTGTTCTCTTGAACTCATCAGCTTATCGTCATAATATGGTCAGAAGGGGTTTGGACCTGATGCAGGTCTCAAATGTGATAATACATTAGATTAATGACATTATGATAATATCAGAAACTGAAGATCAAGCTAGGACTGATTTGAATGAAGTGGTGACCCACATGACCAACTGATGCTGGTTAATAAACCGAGCTGAGGCCCAGGGGGCTGCCTAAACAGTGAAATTCTTAGGAATAAACTGGGCAGGACCCACCTGGGACATTCCAAGAGACTAAAAATAAGCTTCAGTCATTCCTCACCCTTAAGACCAAGAAGCCCAATGTTTGGTTGGTTTATTTGGATTCTGGAGAACACAAATGCCAAATGTGGGAATAATCTACCTCCTGTCTATAAGACTACCCGAAAGAAAGCTGTTTATGAGTGGGGACCTGAACACAAGCAGGCCATGTCTGCATTACAAAGAGTGGGTTCTCATGATGCCCCTCAGAGATGAATTTTGGAAATTTATGCCACTCGCAATCATGCAGACTAGAGCTTGTGGCAAACCCATGAGGATCTCCCAGTGGCAATTGTTTGGATTTTGGACCAGAAAATATCCAGATGCCACACTGGGTACACATCATCTGAGCAAAAATTGCCAGCTTGCTACTGAGCATTAATCGAAACTGCCTCATTGATTGAAAGACATAAAAGAATCATGAAACCTGAGATACTCATGATGTCTTCTTGGGTGACATCAGAGAAACAGCCTAATAGGGAAGGAAGCAGTGGAAAAGCTACATAACACAATGGAAATGGCTCATACAGCAGCATGTGGCCGGAGTGACCCACTGTATTCAGAAGCAAGAACCGTCTTTTCCTCTGGGACCAACTTTGGAACCACCTGAGGAGCTGCTGGAACCTATTGCTACTTGGACAATTCCTTCTGAATGCTCTGGATCAAATGACAAGGAGCTGTGTGATTTACGGATAGCAGTTCCAAGGTCAATGGACAATATCCTGTTTGGAAAGCTGCTACATCAAGACCAGCAGGTGGAAAGACTCTGATTGAAGAATAAGGAATAAATCGGCTCCTTGGGCTCAATTGCATGCTGGTTCCCGAGCAGTGATAGAATGATAAAAAAAAAAAAACAAAAACAAACCTCTGTGTTTGAGTTTTTTTTGACTCATCACAGTAGCCCATGGCCTGGCCACGTGGTCAGGCAGGTAGACAATGGAAAACTGGCTGCCTAGATGCCTATATGGGGCAAGGCTCTGTAAAAATCAGTCTGGAAATTTAAGGGACTCATTAAAATTGGACATGTCAATGGTCATCAGAAGAAACCCTTTCCAGGTTCAGAAGGAGATTAGAACCACCAAGTGGACCTTTTAGTGCACATCCATGAGGTGGTCACCTGGATCCTTGAAATGAATGGACCAGGGGTGGGGAGCTGCAGCCATGCAGAGATGGGCTGAATCTAGACATGTTCCCCTTGCACCTATAATGCACCCATAATTGCACACATAATGCCAACAAGAATGACTCTGTCTGTCAACAAGAGAGACAGACACTGCAGATGGCTATGTGGACAATTCCCCAGGGAAAGCCCTGCCCATAGTCTGCAAGTGCATACATTGGACCAATGCTGGTAGCCTTGGGGGCTATCCATGAGTTTTGCCTGGGATAGACACTTTTGACCGGCTTTGCATACCTGGTGGTAGAGAGTTTTAGAATTGAGTTAAATTATTGGACCCCCAGTTGGCATCCACAAAAAAATAGGAGAATTTCTTGGTGTGGGAAAACTCCCCACACATTTGGTGGCCAGAAATGAAATGGTGTGAGTGCTGAGTAAGAGAATAGAGAAAAACAGTTGGCTTTTCCAGTGCAGGTTGTGGTAAGGATTAAATGAGATAGTACATATAAGGCACTTAGCACAAGGCCTGGCACACAGTAAGTGCTCAATAGATACCAGCCTTTCATTCATTCATTCATTCATTCATTCATTCATTCGTTCATTCATTCACCAGCCATTCATTCAACATGAAACTTGTTACTGTTGTTCTGATTATATGTCTTGATGAATGATAAATAATTCAATCCTAGAAAGGAAGCACTGGTAATAATAGTTAAGACTGTAATTCATAGACACAGATGAAATGAAATGATATCTGTGCTTTGCTTCAAAATAGTTTGCAGGAGGAATGGGTAGAGGTGTAGCTGAAAGAAGTTTGTTGAAGCTGGTTGATGGATCCATGGTGGTATTAATATAGACTATCATCTTATTTGTGTATGTTTGAAATTTTCCATAATATAAAGTTTTTTTTTAAAAAGTACAAAGACACACAAGATTCACCACTCTCAAATGCCTGGTTAATGTCACATTTCTTCAGATTTAGGTCATGTAATCGGTTTGAAAAACAGTAGAATGAGTCAGTGAATCTTAAGACTCTGACAGTCACTGGAGTCAGCTTCTCCATTCATTTGAAAGCTACTTTCCCACAATTTTTTATTATTGAGCCTTGACATAAAATTGTGTCTGATATATAACCATTTATATGCCTGAATCGTAAATGGCTTATTTATATCATGTTTATACTATTACACAAGCATAAACCATAAACCTACATTTACATACATTCTTAAATACATTAATCGTGGTTCTTAAATACATTAATCGACTCAGGTAAAAATGAATGGGAACCCAAACATTTTCAGTGCAACGAAGCCAGGATAGTTTAAATTGGCATTCTGAGTGGCTGCATTCTCAGAGCTTAATGGTACATTTTTCTTGAATTATTATTTTACCATATTACTTTGGTTTGAAGAAACAAATATAAACAATAGAGTTGTAAAGTTGAATAGTTTCCAAGTTAGAGAACCCTGAGAATGTTTAGCAGCTCTCTGTAACTTAGTCGTAACGTGAGTTTTCAGAAGAATGGGCATTTTTCTACCCCTTCTGCCTCCTCCAAAATCTTGCTCCATTAATTACCTCCTCTTCCAATTGTATCATCGGTCTCTCTCCATGTTCTTACTTTTTCTGTTTTTTTGTGGACTAGTCTGATCTGATAGTCTTTATCTTGATATACAACATAACTCTTGCAGGTACACAAAAGAGGACAAGAGCACATGCTCTAGGTATGAAGGCAATGTGGATCGGGAGATCAGTGATTGCAAACATGGCCCTCAAACTGAATGTCCCAAAGGCAGAGGCCATGAATTGTGGCATTAATTTGCCTCCAAGATGCTTCTCACATGGTTATCTCCGGGTAGCTTGCTCCAAGGTAAATGATGGCAGAAATGTATTTAATAACAACAGATCATTCTCTGTGAATAGGCTAGCAAGAAAATAATCAAATAACAAATTGCACAGAGAAATTAAATATCAGCAAAGGGTTCATTTTGTCTTCTGGAAGTCCAGAAACAGCTCTGGGTTATTCTCCCATGATCCTTCTGTTCCTTCGTGATCTACTCTGCCTACCTTTCCTAGCAAAAAGAGCTGCAAGTCTGACTTCAGTCTTTCATCATAAGAACACAGTTTTAGAACATTAAAATTTAAAAATTTTAAGCAATTGATTCTAAATGGAGCCTTTTACTGCTGACAACATCCTTGGAAAAGGGAATTATACTTTTCCTCACCTCTGTGCTTACATATTTGAACTCTTTGCAAAAACTCATGAAAACAAACTCAGCTGGGCCTTCTTTAACTGTGTACTTGGTGGTTACTAAGAAGTGTTGGTTTGAGTCACTGGAACGGTTACTTATTTTAGTTCTCACAACTGCTTTCCACAAGATAATAATTTAATTCTCTCTCTCCCATTCTCTGTAAATTATAGCTATGGCTCACCAAAAATAAGTAATTCTAATATTTAAGGTCAATAATATGTATTTAATGAAGTTAGATATGATTTCAGTTTGAGATGGAAACCTGGTCCAGAATGCTACACCTTCATATTTTTTTCTTGCTTTTTTTTTTTCTTATGGTAGTAAATGGATTTGGTCCATTTAATCACCAGTTCTTAGAATGGAGAGGTACCTTATATGTCAGTGGAGAGGTTGGTTCAGTACTATATTCCCTGTGCCTAGCACCTAGAACACAGTATTTGCCTTATAAATATTAATATTTGCTATATAACTTAATCTAGTTTGATCTTCCCATCCAGTGCAGAAATATTTTCAACCATTTTCATCTAAGATGGACTTTTACATCTTTTGCTTTAACCTTTCCAGTTCTAGGGAACCCCTTCCTTCTACATTTCTTCCCTCCTCCCCTCCGCTCCTTTTTTCAATAGATCTATGTTGAATTCTTACTATGGGCCAGGCACTGTGCTAGGCTCTGGGATATTGTGAGCTAAAACACATTTCCTGCCCTCATGGAGATCACAGATTAATAGGGGAGGCAAACATTAATCAAAGGGTCAAACAAAAGGGTAGTACCTAGAAAAGTCAAATGATAGACACCGAAAGTAGAATGGTGGTTGTCAGGGGCTGGGAGCAGGGGAAAGGGGAGTTACTGTTCAGTGGGTGTAACGTGTCAGTACAGGATGATGGAAAAGTTCTGGGGATGGATAGTGGTATTGTCACACAACAATGTGAATGTAACGCCATTGAACTGCACACTTAGAAATGGCAAAAATGGTAACATATATGTTATGTATATTTTACTACAATAAAAACGAACAAAACAAAACCATAAAAAGGGCAAGGCACAACTCTGATAACTGCTAACCAGGAGAACGCACAGAGAACCCAGAGGCAAAATGACCTCCTCCTGTTTGCCAGGAGGCTTTCCCAGGGGTGGGGAAACTGAGGGCTGGGGAAGGAACACGAGCTGGCCTGATGTAGGCATGAAGGAAGGGCGTCCAGGCAGAAGGACTGGCACTTTCCGGAGGTGGCAAGGAGCCTGTTGGGGACCAGGGACTGAGAGGAGGTCAGTATGGTTACAGCTGGCAGAGCAGAGGGAGAAGGTGCAGGCTGGGGCCAGACACAAGGGAGGGGCCCCACTAGGGAACTTGGCCTTTACCCCAAGAGCGCTGAGAAGCCATTCAGCACTTTTAGACAAGGGGTGACATGATCAAATTTGCATCCCACTCCCTGCTCACACGTTTATGTGTGTCTCTGTGCACGTGAATCAGAAAGCTCTTCCTTCCGTTAACTTAAAACTGCCTTATACAACTTTCTGCCTCTGGTCTCAGTTCTGCCTTCCTTCTGGAGCTCCGCAGAAACAAACATTCTCCTTCTTTTCTGTGAGGGCTTTCAAATTCCAGTTCTGTTTCAGCTTCTCCCTACCCTGATCATACCCTTCTGTACCTTCCGTATTTATCACTCTTCCTAATAAAATGTGGCTTCTGGAGTCTAGCACAATCAACTCAGTTTTGGGAACACCAGAAAAGCTATTTTCTGGGCTCTGGACACCATACTAGAGCCACACCCATCAAAGACTGTTTCATATTAAGTTGGTAGTCAACTAAACAACCCTCACCTCCAAGTTTTTCAGACGCAATGCTATTTCATTCTGGTTTTGGTCCATTGATTTTCTTTTTCTTTTCTTTCTTTTTTTTTTTTTTGAGACAGAGTCTCACTTTGTTGCCCAGGCTAGAGTGAGTGTCATGGTGTCAGTCTAGCTCACAGCAACCTCCAACTCCTGTGCTCAAGCAATCCTACTGCCTCAGCCTCCCGAGTAGCTGGGACTACAGGCATGTGCCACTATGCCCGGCTAATTTTTTCTATATATTTTAGTTGGCCAATTAATTTTCTTTCTATTATTAGTAGATACAAGGTCTCGCTCTTGCTCAGGTTGGTTTCAAACTCCTGACCTTGAGCGATCCGCCTGCCTTGGCCTCCCAGAGTGCTAGGATTACAGGCGTGACCACCGTGCCCGGCCAGATTTTCTTAACATAAATAGAACTGCACTGGGTCTCAGCCCTGGTTCTGCCACCAACTTGCCACACAAACTCCTCTCTCTTTGGGAGCAAGCTGGCCCACAGGACGCACATGTTCTTGCTCTCCCCATGCTGTAAGTGTTGCAAGGGGTTTGTGCTCTTGGGAGGCCTGCAGTAGTCCAGTGTGGGTCCGTACTGGGAGGCCACTTCCCGGCAGACTTAATCCAGTTCCTTCATTATCAGTTTCATCAGTAATAAAGTGATAGTTTTGTCCCCAATTGCCTTACTCCATTGTCTCTTTCCTTAATTGGCTCGGCATACAGTTATATTTGTCGGGTCCTCCCAAACAATGAGGGGATGACCAATGTTCATTTGCTAAAATTTCTTGTCCCTAGGACTATGACTTTACATTTATCCCATTAAATGTCCTTAGGTTGGTTTCAGCCCATTCTTCATTACAGCCAAATTAGCCCTAATCAGTACTAAGGATAATGGTCTGGGGCAGTTAACTCACATCCTTAACCAATTAGCTAACTCCAAGCAAGTGACTTTGGCCCTGGAATCCATCCCAGAGAAAGATTGCAGTGTGCTGGAATGTTGCCATGGCATTATTCCCAATGCCATATTAGCAATTATATGGAAGTCCCCAGGAGTGAAATGCCATTTCCAAGAGAGGCTGAAAATCGGATCTGTTCTGTATTCAATTCCACTCTCTTGTACCTAGTCACAGCAAGGTCCTACACTACTCTATTTAGCATATCCCTTGAAATTTTTGTCCATTGTGTCTGTTATGTAGCATAAACAGAAGTTGTCATACAAGCTGATAATGGTGATGAGTCAAAGTGTTAATGATGATGATTTATATTTGCCAAGTGCTTTATGTTAATGAAGGAAATTTCAGGTACAATATGCCACTTCTGGGATTCCCAGAAGCCCCGGGCAGCAGGCAGGGTGGGAAGTGTTGCCTTCATTTTACAAATGAGGAAACAGACACAGAGGAGTTCACTAACAGGTTCAAAATTACCCAGTGTGCTTAGTGGTAGAGTCAGAACCAGAACACAGGCCTGCAAAGACTGCCTAAAATTTGCCTCTTGACTTGACAGCCCCTCCAATTGTATAGGACCTTCACCCTGAATGGGATCCACTCACGACCCGACGTAGGCGTGAACATCACACACATGCATCACTGGACTCAGCGCTCCTGGTAAGTAACCTCTTCACGTGATTCTCGGTGTCTACAACATGGTGCCTGTTGTCCACCTTAGATCCCAGGCTTCTTATGACAGGCCCCTTAGGGGCCTAAGACCACAGATGTTGGAAATAGACTATTTGGGTTCAAATCCTGCTCTGCCAATTGCTGTCTTAGGGCAAGCTACTTATATATCTGCCTTATTTTGGGTTCTCCTGAAAGCAGAGCCTAAGACCAGAACTTGGGTAAAGACAGTTTAGTTCAAAGGTGATCCCAGGAGGTGGGAGTGAGCGAAGCAAGACATGGAAGGCAGAGAAGCCCATATAGAGCGTGTTATGGTTTGGTTGCCACTGTGGGCAACAACAGGTTGTGCTGGGGACCTTCTGAGGAGCCATGTGTAGAATGCACCTCAGAAGTGGTCTTGTCACCTGACTTCTGCCCTCACTGGTGGGCAGTGACCCCAGGGCTGTCAGCTCCCCAAACTCCTGATGGCTGAGTGGCTGAGCAGCTCCTCAAGCCTTCACGGCTCCGAGACAGCAAAGCAGAGAGACAGCGGAGGGCCAGAATTGATGTGGGACACTGGCAACATGTGTGGAACCATGCCCCCAGAATGTGCTGGAATCATGTATCAGAACATGCAGTATCTGGGATAAGGGGTTGCAGCATACCTCGTCATACAGTGCTAGTGATGATTAAATGATATACAGTTCCCAGTACACTTAGTATACTTGATAAATATTAGCAGTAATGAGAACGAGAGTGATGATGGGGATAATTTATTTATTTTATATAAAATCCATAGTAATTCTAACTGAAATTAAAGTAAACAAGCAGGTAATATTTGGGCTATATCTGTGTGACTGTATTATTGGTCAGAGCTCTCATCTGGAACTATTTTTATAGAACTAGCTACATCGTTGCACAAAAAATAATTTATAGTTTGTTCCTTTAAGTTAAATAACCATTACAAAATAGCTGGTGATAATCCTGTATGTCTGTCAGTATAAAATTAAAAGAAATTTATAAGGGTACAGAAATCCATGGATTGGAGTGTGTATGTATGTGTGTGTGCACACTTAATTTTAGTGGTTCATGAAAGATTTAATCCATATGATCTTCATATTTCTAAGCAGGTTTGACATTCTGGATCCCAAATTATTAGAGTACTATTGGCATTTTCTTAATTTGATGTTGTCTTCTTTGTTCTCACAAATGCCATGTAAAGTGGTACCTGTTGCCCAGGCTGGCCTCGAACTCCTGGCCTCAAGTGATCCTCTTGCCTCAGCCTCCCCAGTTGCTGGGATTATAGGTGTGAGCCACCATGCCCGGCCCTTCAGTGCTTTTTAGAGGCTCAAAACTGCTATCTTGAGATCAATCTTTCTTTCTTTCTTAATAGATAGGGCCAAGGCAAATTGTGCCCCGCAACTATCTTCTTGCTTACAAATTCTGAACTAGGCTAAAATAATGAGAAATCACAAAACATGGACAAGCAGAATAAAATTCAGTCTGCAGTTTCTCAGGTGCTGTGCTTCAGGAATGAGTAACAAACTGAGTTTGAGGTCATGGGTGGGTAAATGTACACACTCAGCCTGGTGCTCCTCTGTCTGTCTCCCATAATGTCACTGTCATCTCTCTGAAGAGTGAGGCTGTGAAGGTCTGGTTGACCTGGGCCTCACATCCCTCCCCTCCTCACCACCCCAGGGCCTGAATCGGTCCTGAAAGTGCACGCCCCTGACTCAATCCTCTTCCATCCAGCCCCCCACAGTGCATTAGGGTAATCCTTCTTAAACTCGCAGCTTACCATGACACCTACCCACTTGAAACTCTTGATGGCTTCTCACCGTCCCTCCACACAGAGCCCACACAGCTTAGCACAGTAAACAAAGCCCCTTCACAACCTCACCTGAGTTCCCTCTCCAGACCTGCCTCCAACCGTTCCCCGCCCCCAGGTCATCCTGTGTACATGCCTACCTCCAGGCCTTCTCTCCTGCTCTCCCCTCTGCCTGGAATTCCTCTTTTCACTTTGCTAGCCTGAGCTGCCCCCATTCTAAAGCAGAAATATCTCAGTACCTTCATACTTTGATCTAACACAAAACATTGCAACTTACTATAACACATAACTTATTATTGTGGTAATTTTTGTTTGCTTCTCTATATTCCCACCTAAGAAATGCGTTCTATCAAGACAGGGACAACCTTGTTTCTGGAACAAAAATGATGCGTAAAAATGTCAAGATCAAATATTGAGACATGATGGAGCTGAATCAATTTAAATAAAGCAGGGCAGGCAGAAGTAGCCATTCAGAAGTAACTTCCAAAAGTCTTAATGAGTTCAACTGCTTATAGCACACACATAAAATAACTTTTCCTAATCCTAGTTCTTCCAATGATCATATTAATAATTAGAAACAGGCCGGGTGTGGTGGCTCACACTTGTAATCCTAGCACTCTGAGAGGCCAAGGTGGGTGGATCGTTTGAGTTCAGGAGTTTGAGACCAGCCTGAGCAAGAGCGAGACCCCGTCTCTACTAAAAATAGAAAGAAATTAGCTGGACAACTAAAAACATATAGAAAAAATTAGCTGGGCATGGTGGCACATACCTGTAGTCTCAGCTACTTGGGAGGCTGAGGCAGAAGGATTGCTTGAACTCAGGAGTTTAAGGTTGCTGTGAGCTCTGATGCCATGGCACGGTAATCCAGGCAACAGAGTGAGATTCTCTCTCTCTCAAAAAAAGAAAAATAATAATAATTAGAAACAGCATTCATCACATGGCTTCCAGTTTTGAAATTTCTGTTTTATGTTGCTTTCAATTTGCATTTTGGCCACGTTGACAAAGAATAAGCATAAAGGAGAATATTTTAAGGATGTTGAATAATAATGGCCAAAGAAAACAATTAGAAAATTGAAGAAAAGAAAATTGAAGGATATATCATCTGGTTTATGAAGACCCCATAATAGAAAATAATGTTTTATAATTAAATAATAATTTTATCTCAATGAAAATGATAAAAATATTACATATCATGCCTATTTAGCATGGCATTTCTTATGTGATAGGGCATGCATTCATTCATTCAACTGTTGAGTGTGCACAATGCCGTGAGACTGTGGTTGGCATTTGCCATGCAAAAGGCAAGGAAAGCTCTTTGGGGGAACTTTACCAGGCCCTGACATGGGCAACACCCAGAGTATTGGAACTTGTCTGCAACCAGAAATATTACTGTGAGTAAAAAGACCCTTGGTATGCTTGGTATGGCATGACCTTTGTCTTTTAGTCATTTTGTCTCTTTGGGAAAGGAATGTCTGAATGATTTAAGGGACAGGATAATGAGTTCTCCTACTAGAGTATCAGGTCCAGATCCCAATTCAGTTACTAAGTGGTTGTTGTTTTCTAGTATAGGTCATAAAAATCCCAGGAATATTTTTGAGTCTGTTTGCACAAAGTTTCCTATGTCGCGGTGTGGATATCACACTCTTTAGCCTAACAAACCTCCACGGAGCACCTCCTTTGCACAAGTCCGAGTGTTGGGGCTCTAGAAAAGAATGGCCCCAGCTCCTGCTCTCTGGGAGATGGTAATGTAGTGGGAACGTGTCTCGGTTTGGGCTGCTGTAACAAATACACCATAGGCTGGGTGGTTCAAATAACAAACATTTATTTCTCACATAAATGGCTCAAAGGGAAATTTCCAAAATAAAGTTTCAAAAACCATTTGAACAATAACCTTTTTTTTTTTTTTTGAGACAGAGTCTCGCTTTGTTTCCCAGGCTAGTGTGAGTGCCGTGGCGTCAGCCTAGCTCACAGCAACCTCAAACTCCTGGGTTCAAGCAATCCTCCTGCCTCAGCCTCCCGAGTAGCTGGGACTACAGGCATGCGCCACCATGCCCGGCTAATTTTTTCTATATATATTATTTGGCCAATTAATTTCTTTCTATTTTATAGTAGAGATGGGGGGTCTCCTTCTTGCTCAGGGTGGTTTCGAACTCCTGACCTCAAGCAATCCGCCCGCCTCGGCCTCCCAGAGTGCTAGGATTACAGGCGTGAGCCACCGCACCCGGCCTGAACAATAACCTTTGCAAGAACATGTAGATTCTCAGAATAAATTTAGAGGACAATGTTTATTTGTATATATAAGTTCTGGTACCGTGACAGGAGCAGATATTATAATTATTCCCATTTTTATAGATTCAAGTAGAGACAAGAAGTGTCCTGGTTATCCTCCCTCCAGGGTCTGGCTCTTCACACTGTACGGGTTACCCCTCTTTCCCTGTGTGTGCTGCATAATATTACACGTGTACTACAAATGTGGATAGTACTGTCCGGTTTGAAGGTGCATGGGTCAACTGGGTGGGGGTTGCTTGGCTAGTTTTCCAGGCAAGGTGTCACAGATTGGCTTTAACTTGGTTAAACCATCACACTCCCAAGTCTGATTCTTTGCTTTGCAACCCAAGAACCCGAGTTTCTCAGCCTACCAAAAAAAGTCATCTGGCTTAAGCTAAATACCACTTTCCAAATTACCAGTTTATAATGGGGACTCTTGTTTTGCAGTGACAGATGTGGTTGCACCTGCCATCCAGCAAGCTGCTCCTGGTTTCAAGATATCATGAAGCCTGTGTGGAAACAAATTAGTAGATTGCTGTGAGCACACACACGTCAGAGCAAAGGGAGGTTGATAGAAATGGCAGGATATCTCTGGAAGCTAAACGAGTCATTTCTAACTCAGAGTGGAGCACAACCCTTTGGTGAGTGTATTTATTTTCCTTGGGGTCCGTGTCTTCTCCCCTGGTCAAGGTTAGCTGGATAGACTCTGCAGACCCCAGATGTTCTGATCCTCATTTCTATATTTCCACATAGACTACCCTCTCACATTGCAACATTCTTTATTAAGAGATGTTAATATCACTCATATAATTGTTCTATTCCTATTTTGGGGCCAGAACCATTTGAACCCTTTTTAAAAATGTTGGCTACTTTTTGCATGTATGTTGATTTTTTCAATCAAGTCAGTCCTTTGACCCCTTTCCCCAGAGCTGTGCTCTGCTGCCTTTATAGATGTAGCTTGGTCTCATTGGGGTAAATCAAAGAGCTCCATGCAAGAAGTTATTTTTGAAACTTACATTTGACTCAGTAAGATAGCTGTAAAAACACTACTGGAGAAAATTAAAGAAATAACATAGCACTATTTCCCATAAACTATTATCATAGACTCCAGCCACCTATATATCGCCCCCTATATTGCTTTGTTCTCTATAAAACTCCTTTAAAAAACCCCAGAAGAGATCTTTAGACAATAAGCACAGTCATGTCTATTCAGGTTCTTAATGCATTTTTTTCCTCTGGGGTGAACTATTCCAGATCCTATCTGCTGATTCTCTTATTAACTTGATCTTGGCTTTTATCCATGAGCAAAGGCCACACTCTCCATGTGCAGTGTGGGCTGGTTTTAACTAAACCTTTAAAAAATAATTCTTCATTTATAGGGGATATTCTCCTATTCCTTGAAGTTATAACCTCATCTATAATACAAACATAACACTGGTACCAATTTACGTTAGGGTTTATCCACTGGTTCACCCTCATAATATTTTCAGCTTCCAACCACCTATGTTCTTGAGCTCCAAAGATGGAACATATGTTGTGTTCCAGGAGTTAAGAAACACTCCTGTCAAGTGAGAATGACTTGAAACATCCCAAAATTCTCGCTCACATTCCTCCTCTGCAGCCCTGGGGGATTTGGGAGGGGCGCTGTAGCAAAGACTGTGTGCCTCTCCTGGGTTCTTCCTGCCCGCCTTCAGCTTGCCCCAGCCCACTTCCAGCTGTTGGTACCCGGGCCTCCAAGCCATGTGCTCTGTGCAGACACAAAGTGGCGGGCTGGAAGGAAGGAATGGAGGAATTAATATCCCTGATGATAACCTTCAACCAAGGACTGATGGGAACTGGTGTACATACACCCAACCACCCTTCCTCTAGGGCGAAAAACTTCCATTTCCCCAAGTTCCCAGCACCAGTAAGCTCCCACTCTGGCAGGGATAGCTGGCTTAAAAGCACATCTTTACTGCTTCCTTCTCTTCCCCTGTCCCACTGCCTCACTTCCCCACTCCGCTACTAGTGCGCCTGCACTTCCCAAACTACTTGCACTTGAATCCTATCTCAAGGTCTGCTTCTGGGGCACCCAAACTAAGGTGTGTGATGCAACGGGGTAGAGGAGACTCCCTAGCCATAGCACCAGTCAAATCAATCCAGAAATTATAGCTGATAAACTATAATGGACATAGTGCCTGGCACATAAATATAATTGTTTTATGGTTGTTTTTCAAGTAATCATTGCTTATGGTCCTCCTCCCAACAAGTGACCAATCTGGTGGGAGAAATTGCCATAGAAACCATGAGGCTTTAATATAGATATAGTGTAGTCAGTGTTGTAAGGAGGGGTGAGAAACTTCCTGTGGGAGCACAGAGGTGAGCCAGCAGTTCATTAAGATGGGATGAAGGAAGGGCTTCAGGGAAAGTTTTATTGATGGGGTGACATTATATAGGGAAGCTGGAAAAGAGCATTCCAAAAAAGAAGACCATGAACAAAGAGAGAGAGAGACACACACACACACACACATGGCAGGATAACAACCGGGCTGGAGCAGGGGGTGCTTGGGAGCAGGGGCTAGGATGAGCCTCAATGCCTTGCTAAGGAGATTTGGCCTCAGGCTGCAAGTAATAGGGAGACATCAAAGGTTTTAAAGCAAAGAAGTAACACGCATTGGAAAAATCTCATTTCTAGAAATATCTGGTGCAGCTATGGGGGTATGTAAGACTATTCTTGGGGCTCAGTTTCCATAGATGGAGCAGTAGAAGGTGGTGGTTATGCACGCAGGATGCCTTTATTTGAACCCCAGCCCTGCCACTCCCTAACTGTGTAATAATCAGCACTAACATTTACTGAACCCATGTGCCTGGATTTTTGGAAGTGCTTTACTTGGACTAGTCATTAAATCTTTTGTCCTTCAGATTTATCATCTATACCATGGAGATAACATTATTTTATGTTAGTAAAATATTATTTTATAACTATTTTTATGTAGCTACCTCACAGAGTAGTTCTATAAATGAGTTAACATGTATGAACTTTTTAGAAAAATGCCTGGTACATAGCAGATACTCATTAAATGCTACTGCTATTGTTACATGTGCCCTTCTGCTTTTAGAAGAGCTCACATAAAGGGGAATTGATGGCTGCACCTAAGTTTCCCTACACCTGAGTTCAGACATTGCTGAATGGCATCCATGGCAGGCACCTGCACCCAAGTAAACACTGCAAGTGACCGTTGAAGGGAGGGCGGATATAGTGCAATATTGCATGGCCTGACTTCCCTCACATGGCTCTAAGAATTTGAGTCCACTGAAAAAGCTATGTGCCATCTAGACTGGAAGCTATGGGGAGCTGTCCCATAGTGGAAGTGCTAAAGGAGTTAGGATAAGTGTTGAGCAGCCAAGGCACCTAAGCCGTGTTCTAGGTACTAGAATCTAGGAGAAAAAAAAGAAGCAGAAAGCTAGCAGTGAGTTCCAGCACCAGGATTTTGAGCAGCAAATTCCCTCTCGTCTGTCTGACTCCAAGTAGGTTCTACTGTACTGAGCTGTCTTTGGAGGCCTCCAGTGAGCAACTAGGAAGTGGCCCAGCCCAGGGGGAAGATTCATGTGGTTTTGATTATCTGCGAAAAGGGCTGCTGGGACTCCTTCTAGAAGAAACTTACACCTGAAGCTTCATGTTCTGGTTTTGGACGTCCCAACTGAACCAGCTGTGATATCTTTGGGAACATTGAAGACCTGTGAAGAGCAAGAAGGTATAACGCTTTTTATCTAGACATCTTATGAAATTGCAGATTCATAATTATAAATATTGGGCTCTAAGCACTCACAACAATTTCAGATTAGAACTTGACCTTCAATCCTTTGGAAGCAGGTGAGGTCTTGAAAGACAAAGCTGCACTGGTATTGTGACTTAACTTTTAGATTCAGGGTTTGAACTAATTTGTAAATTTTTCAGTAAAGCATTTCATTTTTTTTTTTTTGACTTCATGTCTCAGTTAAAGTAAAGCATTTCATGACCAAGCTGCTTGCTTCCACAAATCCTTCCTGATTTTTGTCTTTTTCATTGATCTCTTCCATCCTGAGTTGGAGCCCAACTTTCTCAAGAAAACATGATGAACTTAAGTCTAGAGGAGTTTCACATTAACAAGGAATTGCTGTGCCTTTTTCTGGTTTCTTTAAAACAATGGCAGAAGACTATTAATACCATTGATCATGCTATTTATCTATTTTATTGGGTGTGTTTATACCGAGGGTTCTCTAATTTGGAACACAGAAGCCTTTTATTGCTGTATTCTTCCTTCCTCCACGTAGATTCCATATTTTGAAAGATTTTGCCTACCAAACGTGCCTGCCTGCCTGCTTCTACTGAGAAATAAGAATTGTTGGTTCATGAGAATTATAGTGAGGAATCCTCAAGAATTTAGAAATGAGAAAAATGAAGTTGAAATGAACACCTAATGGATCAGAGGAAAGATGTCTAAAGTAAAGGAGAGAGGGTTAATATGATTCTGGACAAAAGCGAATGAGACATCCAGTGTCTCACTACCATATACAATCCAGTTGCAGGTGACTGTAGAAACTCTCTGATGAGTCCCACTGGTTAACCTGTCATCTGTCCCAACATCCTTTCAGGGTGCCCTCCTTTCTTGAAGAGGTTGGGGAGTCATAAAGTACTTTTTCCACAACTCCTTGCATAAGGAAATCTGGGCATCAGTTGGATTCTGCCAATCAAATGCCCTTTGAGGACACATGAAGGGGAAGAGAGGCAGAGTGCAGCCATTGCTTTGTGTGCATTGTACCAGAGAAGCATGGTTTGGCTGCTGCCCAAGTCAAGAGGTAGTTCCCTGATTGTGTCAGGGCAGCAGCTGCTTTGACAGCTCAGGTCTTCCGTTGTGGTTTCAGGAGATGGTCCAGGAATCTCAGGCTACAGTCTGTTATTTCAGCCCTCCCAACAATTCTGTGAGATATTTAATACCCTGTAATATACCTCTTTCTGCTTAAATTAGCTAGAGTGGACTCTGTTTCTACAAGTGGACTCTGACCCATGCAATTTCCACTAGGAATATTTAAATGCTGAAAAGAGGTCAGAAACCCATTACTATGTTTTCAGATCACTCTAGCCTTTCCTCAGTTTTCAAAAAACAAAAGTTAGCACCAGGTGGAATCCTCATTGGATCCTTCTTAAATGTTTAGTGCCCATGCACAAAAGGCAATGCTTATTTCCATGTGTTTGTTGAAGATATTTAAGTATTTTACATTGGCTTCAAAATCCTTACTGTTACAAGTAAGGAAATTGACCATAAAAATCATTTTCTATCTTGTGTCCATGCCTCTATATTAGGGAGTAATGAAGTTAATCCATTAACGGCTTGTGTCTAAATTGATATATCTCCCTTCCCCAATTGGTCTGTTTATGTATGGTTTGTTTATTTAACAGATCTCAGCTGCTAACCAAGGGAATTTTAAAGCTTCAGAATAAAACCATAATGTTGTAGCATAAATCTAACTGTTGGGAATTTGAAACAAACTGTTGAGGTGTTCAGAGTCTGCTATGAAGAACAATTTAAAAATTCTTAGCTTGACAACAAATGAGTTAGTAAGGAAAAAAAGACACCCTATTTACTGATTTGCTGAATGTTAACTAATTCAAACTGACTAGCCAGAATATACATACGTTTTTTACTGGCTAGAATCACATTCTTTTCTTAAAAATTAAATTTATGGTTTTTTCCATGATTACATGTTCATTGTAGAAAAAAAATCCATAATCAGACCATGTATATATAACTATTGATAATTTCAGCACACATCCTTGTCTCTTTCTTTTGTGTGTGTGTGTGTTTGTGTGTACTATTAGCGTTGTATTATACATGCTGGTCTGAAAATTGTTCACTTTCTATTTTTTTTGAGACAGGATCTTGCTCTGTTGCTGGGGCTAGAATGCAGTGGCATCATCATAGCTTACCACAGCCTCAAATTCCTGGGCTCAAATGATCCTCCTGCCTCAGTTTCCTGAGTAGCTGGGATTACGGGCACACCCAGGTAATTTTTTAATTTTTTGTAGAGACAGGGTCTTGCTTATGCTCAGACTGGTCTCAAACTCCTGGCCTCAAGCAGTCCTCCCACCTTGGCATTCCATAGGGCTAGGATTACAGGTATGAGCCACCTTGCCCAGCCCCACTTCCTTTTTTGGACAATAAATCATATTACAAAGATATTTTGATAGTCACCTAACTTTTAATTTAAAAAGGATAAGTAGAAAGCATATTCCACTTCCTCCTTGGGTGGGGCCTTCTAAGCACCAACATTGAGCAAACAAACATTCTAGGCACAGGTGATGTTTGCCCTTTATAATCCAAGCTTGAGCTATATAATGATAATGTTAATAGAGTCCACAAATCCGTATCTACGATTTTGAAATTCAGAAAGCCCCAAAGTGGGTTTCATAACTCATCTGGCTGTGAAACCTGACCTGACTTGATTCATTTGGTGACAAAACTTGGCCCAAAGTGCAATGTCTATTCATGGCTCTTATTTATCCTGTTTAGTGTGAATATTCATATGTTTTGTTGCATAAATGTTAATGTATTTTTTACAAGGTTCTTCCCCAGATCAAACAGGAGTTGTTATGAAATACGTGGTAAATATGTGGTATTCCTTCTCTTGTTGACCCTCTACTGCAAACCCAGATCAGGGTCATGGGCAAGATTATTTTATTGGGTCACAATGCCCAGGAGGAATTTCACTGTTAATTCAGAGGGGTTAAAAGTTTGAGCTTTCTCAGAATCATGTCTTTATTTATTTATTTTATTTTATTTTTATTTTTCTTATTTCAGCATATTATGGGGGTACAAATGTTTAGGTTACATTTGTTGCCTTTCTCCCCTTCTCCCCCCTGGAGTCAGAGCTTCAAGCGTGTCCATCCCCCAGATGGTGTGCATTACACTCATTATGTATGTATCTACCCATCCCCTCCCCACCCATCTGCCTGATGCCCGATAAATGTTATTCCTATATGTCCACTTAGGTGTTGATCAGTGAAACCAATTTGCTGGTGAGTACATGTGGTGCTTGTTTTTCCATTCCTGGGATACTTCACTTAGTAGAATGGGTTCCAGCTCTATCCAGGAAAATATAGGAGGTTCTATATCACCATTGTTTCTTATAGCTGAATAGTACTCCATGGTATACTATACCACATTTCATTAATCCACTTATGTATTGATGGGCACTTGGGTTGTTTGATCAATGTTGGTGCTTAGAAGGCCCCACCCAAGGAGGAAATGGAATATGCTTTCTTATTAGACATCTGGTCCCAGTCTCTGCTGTTTATTAATTGTGTTTCCTTGAGATAGTCCCTTAACCTCCCTTTATTTTTTTCATCTATAAAATGGGTAGAGTAACTCTGTAGACTCTCAACATTCCCATGGGTTGTATCTTGAGATTTTATGAAACCACAAACTTGTGAGTATCACTAGATAATAAAATTTCCCTCACAAAATTTAGTAAATTATTACCGAGCCCAGTCACTTATCAACTAATTAATCTGTTGCCACTCACAAGTAGTGGGGCAGTCTGGATGGTAGAGCTTATAAAAATGATTTTTCAAAGAGTAGGTGGAACAAAAATGGCTAATGTTAGTCTGTTTTGCTGCCTCTAATACAACACCTCTTATTACTTAAGCAGAGATACAAACTTTGTTTCTATATATGCAGCTATATATCTTGCCTTGAGCATGACACATCCATGAGAAACATCTAAATGTGAAAATAAAACATGAGGGCTTAGCCTAGACTTCTGATATCATGAAAGAAAGTGCTGTTGAAGGTCTCTACTTGAAGGGGAAAAAAACATACGTGGAAAGTCTTGAAAAGAGTAGTCATTTATATTCAATAACTTGATTTAAATTTGGAATTTCTCCAAGAGGCTGAAGAAAAACAGTAAATAATTTTTAGATAATGGCTGCCTAAGCAAGGGAACTTTAAATACTTAAATGTACAGAAAGTTCATTCATATAATAAACTTTTATAAGCTTTAAAATTTCACTTTTTAGTTACTTATACTCCTGTACAAAAAGGCGCTTGGAAATGGACATGCCACTGATGTTATTTTTAATATAATACATGACTGGGTATTTTTTTGATGTTTAAGAGTCCTTCACTTGGGGAGGTACAGGATTTCCAGACTTTCTAGAGCCATTCACATTTTCCAGAATCACTCACAATCCGGCCGAGTCTAAGTTAAGTGCTGATCATGAATCTGGAGTTGGACAGGGTAAAGTTAAATCTCAGGATGCCTGGAGTGTATCATTTTTTGGTGTGTAAGATTCAAAAGCAAATCAAATGAATTTCAGGTTTTCACAATTAACAATGAAAAAGGCAACACTTCAATTATTTCTCAGACTTAGAGAATTAAAATGACTCTCATGAAATCACATCCTCACAAAGTAGAAGATCATAGAATTAAATCATCAATCAAACCTTGGGAAGAAAGGGGATATTATCCACTTGATATCTTTATAAGTTTTCAATGAGCACTATGTGTGCTTGGAAATGAAAATCTGCTGTCAGAGGTACTGACAGGCTTTGGGAGCCTTCTTTTCTCTGTCCCAAGCAAATATTAGTAATTCTTAGGATGATGTTTAGAATGAGCTGTTTTCTCTGAACTGTCCTCTGACAGAAGAATAAGAATGATCAGTTATCTTGTTTGGCTGGGTCTAGATGGAATCCTTATTGTGGTTTTAAAAAGTGGCAATGATTACGGATGAGAATGCTAATATTTGGCGGGTGTGCTATCACTAATAAATATAGACATTTCTAAGGCAAGAACAAAATAATACATTAAAAGTCTATTTTCTTAGAATCTGAGGGTATTTTGTCAAAAAAAAAATAAAAGTCTATTTTCCAAGATAAAGTCTCATTTATGGTCTGGGGCAAGTTATTTAGTTTCCTTAGGACACTGAAAAATGCTAATGATTTAATAACATTTGGTTACAGTGGTGATCTTAGTCCATTTTGTGCTGCTGTATACCACAGCCTGCGTAATTCATCGTAATGAACAGAAATTTATTTGGCTCATGGTTCTGGAGGCTGGGAAGTCCAAGCTCAAGGGACAGGCATCTTGTAAGGACCATATTGCTGCATCATCTCATGGCGGAAGGCAGAAGGGCCAAAGAGTGCTCACAAGAGAGCAAGTGATCGAACTTGCAGCCTCAAGCCCTTTCTAATTGGCATTAATCCATTCATGAGGGTGGAGTTCCTTGACCTAAACACCTCCCCTTAGGCTACACTTCCCGACACTGTTGCATTGGGGATTAAGTTTCCAACACATGCTTTTTGTAAGACACATTCAAACCATAGCAACGGCTTTAAGTAGTTTCCCATACTCCTGAGATATGAAGGTGCTCAGAGGGGGAAAAAATGAGCTGTTTATTAATTCTTATTTTTCCCTGTAGATGTACCATCTCCTTAAGATGATACAACTGATACAATCAAAATCTCTTAAGAATTAGTACATATCAGAATCACCATGTTAGTCAGGATCACTCTAAATGATAAAATTTCCTCACTATTAAGATTTGTTTCTCTCCAAAAAAAATCAAACCATGGGATAATAAAGTGATTATATTACTAAATGTATCAATGTATTCTCTTAAGCAAAAAGGGTAATTTTGAAGGAGAAATTATGTAAAGGCATTCTCATATTTTTGTGTCCTGAGACAGTTATTTGCTAAGAAGTACCTAAGGAGCAGGTTATGGAAAGTTCTAGAATGAAATATTATTGCTGGTTTAATAGCTTAAATACTTGATTCCTTTTTAAAAATGTGTACATATATTTTTTCAACTTTTAAGTTTCATTATGAATATTTCAAACACAGAATTAGAAAGAAAGGTTCAGTGAACTCACAGGAATCCAATCCCCTAGCTACACAATCATCAACTCATGGCCTCTTGTTTTGTCTAACTCACTCACTGTTTCTTTCCTCCAGTGAATTTTTAGGAAGCAAATTCTGGATGCATATAATTTCATTTATAAAAATTTCAGCATTATCCCTACATAATAAGGACACTTAGGAAAAAAACATATAAGTGCAATGCCACTATCACACCTTGAAGGGTGATAATATTAGGGAAGATAAAATAAAAAAGATTGACACCATAAGTTGGTGAGTATGTGGAGCAACTGGAACTCTCATACATTGCTGTCAGGAATGTCAAATAGCACAATTACTTTACAGCTACTTATAAAGTTAAATATACATCTAGACTATCATCTAGAAATTTCACTTCTAGGAATTAACCTCAAAGAAACAAAAACATATATCTTCAAATATACTTGTGCAATAATGTTTACAATGTTGTATTCATAATGGCCCCAGGATTAAAATCACCCATGTAGCCATGAACAGAAGAATGGAACACTACTGAGCAACAAATAGGAATGAACTACTAATATATGCAACAACATGGATGGACCTCAAACACATGATTTTGATTCATACCCCATAGAATGACTATAATCAAAAAGATAATGATGAATGTTGGCAAGGATATGGAGAAATTGAAAACTTCACACATTGCTGGCAGGAATGTAAAATGATATAGCCACTTTGGACAGTAGTTTAGCAGTTTCTCAAAAGGTTAACCATAAATTTACTATATGACCCAGTAATCTCTCCTAGTTGTCTACCCATGAAAAATGAAAAAATAGTGCAAAGATTTACATATGAATATTCATAGCAGCATTGTTTATACTAGCTGAAAAATACAAACAACCCAAATGCTCATCAATAGATGAATGAATAAACAAAATGTGGTACATCCACACAATAGAATATTAATCAGCTATAACAAGGAATAAAGCACATATATGGATGAACCTCAAAAATGGTATGCCATGTGAAAGCAGCCTGATATAAAAGACCACATATGATATAACTCAATTTATATGAAATGTTCAGAAAAGGCAAATATATGAAGACAGAAAGTAAATTACTAATTACCTGGGTTGGGAGTGGAAATGGGATTACCTGAAAAAAGAGC